ATATTGTGCTACTAGATGATTTAATTTCACACCTGTTGACAAACTTTGCGCATGTCAGTATAATCAGATCAGACTGTTGACTTGCGCATGATTTTTGTGTAATATGCTTCTTTTTGTTATGAGCTCCATGAAATTTGCTTTTAGAGGAAAGCTGACTTGGCTCCTTCTTCCATAATCACAAATGAAGTCAAGTTGACTTTGCTCTTTTTGCGATTTCTCCTCCAAAAAGTCAAGTTGACTTAGCCCCTTTTGTCAATTTTCCAATGACTTAACTCTACATTCTCATCATGTTAAAAGAGTCAAGTCAACATGTCTTGATATTTAATTTCAATAATGGTAAAAAAAGTCAAGTCCTATATCTCAGTGAAGGAGAGTGATGTTGAAAAACTTCTAAATGCCAGTGACATCATTGATAGAAGTGTCAATCTATCTGCATTATAAATGTGTTAAAAAGTTATGTGCAAATAGTTTTTCGCGTTTCCTGAAAACCTTGGTTTTTGGACTTAGCCCCTTCTTCCGCTTCACAGCAGAACTCAAATGTTGAACACTTTTCCACAATGTGAGCGTCAGTAGGTAAGTGTTCCCGAAAGAAAAAACAGTTAAAAAATTACAAGAAGTGTTCAGATACCGAGTTAAACACTTGCAAGCGGCTAAACTTAGGGTAGAGTGAAAATCTAGGACCGAAAAAGGACACTCAAAATTAACAACTTCAAGATATCCTGCAGTTCAGGAGACTTCATTTCCATCAATTGGCTCGCTCTCGTCCGTTTCTGAAATTATGTAATGAGGGTTCAGGGGGGGGGGGGGTCATGAAAAGTGTCCATCAAAGACCGAACTATGACTCCTTGGTGAAGTAGAACGGGTTGATAAGGTACCTTCAGCTAGTCTTAGGATATTTTGAAGTAATTTATTCAAGGTCCACTTTTTTGATCACAGATTTTCACTCTTCCGTATTACACCTCATAGCCATACAATTGAACAACCGATGATCAACTCCCGATAGCGCACTACGGAAGAAGAACAAACCCACTAGAATTTTTAGAAGCATTGCCAACCTTTTTTATTTTCATTTAGAAGGCAATATGCAATTTAGCTTTCTTATCCCTGATCAGTCGAGCGGACGCAACGGACTAGTTGAGGACAACTGGAAGAAATGTCCACTGGTATGTCCATGAGTTGTCTGCGTCCCCAGTCCGTGGATTGAAACGTCCGTGGACCTGTCCGCAGCTGTCCGCGGTCCTGTCCTTTGTACTGTCCGCTGTCGTCCGAAATTCTACCGTGCCTCTGTCCGCAAATAAATGTCCGAGAACCGCAATTAAGTCCACGAGGTTTGTCCTTGTTGCAGTCCCGAGCTGTCGATGATGGATAAAGTAAATTCCGATGAAATAATCTGTTTCGTTTTAAAAAGAAACAATTAAGTAACCGTGATGACACCAGTTGTGCGGACCGATCAGTACGCATTTGGTGACGGACAGATGTATGGACAGCCGTAACCGTGGTAGCTGCGGACACTTTCCACGTACGTTTCAAACGACGTACTGCAGCTGTGAGTGCAGACTGAACCACGGACGTGTTATGGACCGGTACCTGGACAGACTGATGGACACAATAGGCACACAATAGGACAGTTAGGGACTAAACAAGGACAGCCACGGACAATTGCGGGCCATATCACGGACATATCCGTCGGCTCATAACGAAAGGGAGTTCACTTCGCAGTTTCGCAGTTAACGCGTATTGTCAACTTTTATTTCTGTGTTCCCCCTTTCACACCAATAGGGATGGTTGGCAGGATTGCCGAAGGCATTTCGTCCTGTCTAAGAGAACCTATAGATGCGCTGTAAAATTTCAAGTCTCTAGCACAGATACTTCTAGTGCAACAGACAAACGGTTAGGGACACACAACAAGTACTGTTAAAAATGCCTTGGGATTTCCCGAAGGTTCACTCTCAACCACTACTAGAATTCCCAGAGGAGTCCGTTCTTAGATTTTATGCCAGAAAACAGCCGTTGAAGGTAGAGGGTTAAAAGTCACAGGTGTGTTTTGAAGCTAAACTCGACACGTGAAACCTACGGAGTCCTCTGGGAAATCCCAAGGGAACATGGCAATATTTTTCACGAATGTTCCTCCGTAAGATCCCTGAACTTTTTCTAACAGTGAGTCGTTTGCATCAGGTGCATCAGATAACTTGTTCAAAGAACGGTGGGCTAAAGGACACGGAAAGGATTTGGATGTCGTTGGTTGATCCGAGACAGACGGGAACATTTTAGAACACCACGCAGAAACACTCAAGAACTAATCTGTTCAGAATTTATAGCAGGAAGAGTTACCTGCTTTTTACACAGTTACTTGATGCCTGCCACAACTTGTCTGTTCTGTTCTACTATTAAAATATTCAGGTAAAATTTAAAATCATTTTAAGTCCCACGATTGCCTAAGCAAAGCCTTCAATACAGAGTTCTACGCACAGACTGGGTACGTCAAACAGAACACGGTCGACTAACGCATCCTCACAACACCGTCGTGAAGGACGCTGCTGGGCATGCGTGGCGTGCGTGGCATGCCGCGCCTACCCCTTGCGAATTCGTGCATGATGCACGAGCGGTGTCATGCGTACATTCTGCACGGGCGGTGGTGGCTCGCGCCGGTCGCACGCAAGCGAAGCGTGGGAGGGTCTTCGAGCTCCTCAATGGGCATTCAGTCGGCGGGCGACAGACCAGCAACAAACCAAATGACAAGACTGGCAATTCTGTGCTAATTTACTGACTCATCTGTGGGCCCATATGATCGGATCGGGTCAAATTACTTAAGGGGGCAGAACTGTGAATTGAAGGGTTTAGGAAAATGGTCTCTACATAAAAAATAATTAGGAATTAATGTGTATTAAGAGCATAGATGCACGCTAAATTGCCGTTAGCTTAGTCGCGCGCACTCTCCAGGAACATGCGTATCTTCACCTCCAAGTGGACGATGCAGTCCTTTTCGGTGTGCACGATTGATCTGTAACGGATTGGTCTGCAACTTTCAACAAAAATGCTACTAACTTTAAGAGGGTGCCGCTAGTGGTTGACCTGGGTGTTTTTCAAATTTCGAGATGGAAGTACTCGAAAAAAATCATATAGCTGAAATGCGAAAAATGTGTAAATTAGTTTGCTCCATTGTGATTTTTTTTTTGAGTACTCCCATTTCGAAATTTACAAAACCCCTAAGTCAACCACTAGCGGCATCTTTTAGGAGTAACTAGCAATTTTTCGACCGTCCCAGACCTATCACTTTCAGACCTGTACTGATTTATTTATTAGCTCATAAATTTTTTTATGCAGCAGGATTACTGACTTATTTGTTTCTTCTTCTTTATATCGTTGTAAAGTAGCTCACTAATAAAAAAAAAATTGCCAGAAATCAAAAAAGAAATTATTTCGTATTACTGATGAGTTGTTAGTAGCTGATAATGGGTTTTACGCAGCAAGAATACTGACAAAACGGGAAAAAAATCAGTAAAAGAATGAGAGTGATCCTTCGAGCTACAATCGTGCACACCGAGAGGGACTGAATCGTTCCAGTTGAAGGCGAAGATCGCCATGTTCCTTGGAGAGTGTGCTTACTGGCGCCAATGGCAAGATTAGCATCCATCTATGCTCTTTGCTCTTAATATACCTTTAATTCTTAATCGTCGCGGCATGTAGTTTTTATGTAGTGACGATTCTTGCAAACTGTTACATCTCTCAGGTCTGCCCCCTTAACCGCAATGATGTTAAAATCGTGACTCGTGCTAGTCACAAACTAATGAGTTTCAACAGAAGTTAGACATTTTGTCATTACTGTAGAAACAAGTTTGTGTGCCAATCAAACATCGAGGCATCCATAAATGCCTGTGCCGGTGTTGGCATTCCATAAAGTACGTGTCAGACGTGGCATAAACGGAACTGTTCACGGAAAACATGATTCGTTGCACTATAAAAAATTAGAGTCTAATACGGAACGCTGTACGGCGTAACTGTAGATGCCGCTCATAGTCACTGCACCTAGGGTACAGAGCGTGGAGTACAGTGCCGCTGTAGCACCGGAAAGCCAAGGTTTTACACGTCACGGTGTACGAATACGGCTCCTCTGTTGACAGTTTTTTCCGCCACTGCGCCCAAAACTTGCCCCCTTCCTTAAATTGTTCGTAAAAATTGTCCCATTAAAGTTTACAGTGAGACCTTGCCGAAAAGATGCTCAAGCGCACTCTATCAGCTCGGCAGTGCATTTGTGGACGGTAGAGGGTGCTTTAGCATCACTGATGACGAATTTTGCGCGGTAGCTGCATTTCTATGGCACGCTGATCTTATCTTCAATCAGAATGTGAGTAAGAAACCTTACTGATCGTCAAGAATTTTTGGTTGAAGATTGGGAGCTCATTTCGAAATATCATTCTACACCCCACCAAAAAGTAAAACAAAAAAATTATCAAAAAGAGTCAGAAAAAGTCAAAAAGTAAAAATATCCAAAAATCACAATGAAATCACAAAACTCACTAAAAAAAAAAAATATCACAATAATTATCTTAAGTAAGTGTGAATCTGACAAGGGAACCCCGTCGAGTGTAAATTCCCGATTTTCATTCTGCTTTGGGAAATTGTTGCTCTAAATGTGGCCTAGAAGGGCACATCAAAAAAATTTCGTCAAATTTATATTTAGGGGTTATTTTGGGCATTCGTTCCAAAAGCTGCCATTAAGGGGGCAGACCTGAGAAAATCATAAAAAAATTCATTTTTTTTTAAATGCCTGAATAAATTCTTTGATCCTTTCTCTTTCTATTGCCGCTAAGCGAATGTTGAAATTCGAAAAATTGCGCTCAGGAGAGCCCAAAGAGTGCTCAGGGTGGCCGGGTGGCTGGACCGCTAAGGCTTGCCTGGCCGCTCAGGACAGGATACACGACGAGGAAGGAGTCCTCAAGAGCCCCGGAATCTTTTAGGACCAGTTCAGTAAGTTGCCCTGGCTTTTGAATCGTCGCTATACATAGGTACTGTAAACTTAAAACTCATTTTTCTCGGAATGTCTTTTGGCAAACGGTGTGCAGCCTCCAGGCCGTAGTTTTGGAGCTATCGACTTAATATTTGGCCCAAATGTTGTCCATATATGTGCCCACGATCTGACAAGGCCGATTTTTTATAACTCAATTGCAAGGTACCCAAAACAGGGAAAAAGTACCCAAATTTGAACCCATTTTTTCGTACTCACTTTTTGGGAAACTTTTTCAAGTATTTGGAAATGGAATTTCAGAAAACCCTCCTGTCAGATCCTAGATACATGTTTTAAGAGAATCTAGTAATTTTTTTCACTAGCTGTTGCAAACCCAACGGTTCAGGCACAATCGTGCACACCGCAAAGACCTACATCCTACATCGGCTCCAGTTCAAGGCCATGCTGGCCATGTTTGTGGAGGGGTCGGCACCGCTCAGTGGCCAAATTGTGGGGCCTTCTTTACTTTATATATACTACTGTACTAATGTACTAATGTACTAATGTACTAATGTACTAATGTACTAAACCTCTCAGTCGCCCCGTTTTTTTTTTAAATAAATTTTTCCCCAAACCCTTGTATTTCACAGGTCTGCCCCCTTAAAACTATTGTTTATAATTTTCAAAAACATTTTCTAAGGGGTCACTCGTCAAATTGCCACTCCACGGGTGAGCGTTTTGTCCATTTTTCTCCATAAAGTTAAACGGACGAAATGTTCGTTCGTTCGATCGAAAGATACATTTTGCGACCTGGGGATTTCGATTTTTTTTAAACTAACTTTTTGAGCTACAATGCTCATCATTTTATCATACGAAACGACCCTGAAATTTTCAGATCACTATTTCAATTCCTTCCCTAGTAGCACAGAACTGTCGTACGACCGTCGGACAACAGTGGAAAAAAGATACGAACTATCGGTGCGATATACGAAATGAGAAAAATGATTCTATCGTTATACTATCTTTTTTCCTCGAAACGAAAATCGTTATCGGCCAGCTATCGTAATAGAAGCGAAAAACCACTGTTGTGGATTCGATCAGAAATCGATGAAAATACAACAGAATGGTAGATGGTTCAATTTTGAAAGACCAGCGACAATCGTCTGACTATATTGGATTTTCGTTATCGTCACAATAATTGGACGATAGATAAAAATCACACTATGTGCGACAGTCTTGTGTTACTAGGGTTCTCGAGTTTTCGTTCGGAGAGACAAAGAAACAAACACACACACACACACACACACACACACACACACACACAATGAAGCTTTTTCGGTCAGTCAAGTAATGGTCTTCGCTAATCGATGAGTCAAAAATTGAGTACCCCAGGTCACCGTGTGACGCCAACTCAATGTTTTAATGTCGTGTAACGCCTTGCGGTGATTTCCACCCCCTCCACGCACCCCCGGCCTCATAACAGCAACAACCCCTAACCCCTCGTTTCTGGTTGCGGCCCCAAAACGCGTTTTTATGCGTCATTTTTAGCCCGCTATACTGCTTTGTAAAAGCTATACAAACGGTCCTACGCCATCGCCCGAGGGGTGCCTAGCTCCATACAAATGTGCACACCGTATTACCAAATCGTAAACTTACCAATGATTACCAAAGATTACCAAAGATTACCTATGTATGGTAGGCGAGAGGGGAAACCAATAGATTCCGGCAATTTCTCCTGCCATTTCGGCTATTTCCCGCCTATTTCAGATTATTTCAGGCTTTCGCGCTATTTCGGAGTATTTCAGGGGTATTTCCCGTCTATTTCGCTCTATTTCGGACTTTTTCGGGGGAAGGTGTACGAACTATTTCGCAAGTGATTTCCCCCTCGATGCTAGGTATGGTCCGCCTGCATTCACTGTTAAAAAATCTGTGGAAAAACCACAGACAACCACAGAAAAATTCCCAACAGAGGTGTACAGATTGCTTCTGTTACAGAAATTTTCAGTTATTTTGTGAACACAGAAGTCTGTGCTTCAAAATAACAGAAAAAAACAGAACAGAATCGTGCAGATTGCTTCCGTCATATAAATAGTCTGTCATTCAAGGGGTGCGGACCCATCTATAACAGATATTGTGTCTCAGTGGTAAGGCGTCCGAAGACGCCGCTAGATGGCATTCTACATTAGCTCTCGCCGATCACTTCCGTCCTGGTCACCATGTAGTGTCCCACCCTGATACGTTGCAAGTGGGAAATAGATTCCTGCGCTGCAGTCCTGTGCTAAAGCGCCAATGAAATTGAATTTTTGGCTCACTTGGGGTACCAAAGTATCCTGCTACGCAGACGACGATCCTTCGAATTCAACAAAACTGTGTCTAGAAAAGAATGGCTAAGTCACAGAAAATATCTGTGATAATTCTGTGGCAGATGTACGGAGTAGCACAGACGTTCTGTAACAGAAGCTCCGTGGTTTTCTGTACCTTTGATTCCGTACCGTCTCTGTGGTTTCAGCACAGATTTGGACGGACGTTCTGGGCAAAAAATTGACCATAGTTTTTCTGTGTTTTTCCCCTGTTTTTTTTAACAGTGTTCCTAATCGAAAAGGTTACGTTTTTTTCCGAGAAAGATGCATTTTTATGCAACTCTTTGGTAGTTCTTGATTCTGTATCATGCAAGTTACAAATTCACATTCTATAATTAGCCAAATCATGATTTTGTCCATGGGAGGGATGCAGAGTTTCCATATTAAACATGCGCGTTGGCATTTAGGCAAGATGTGCACAAAACTTCATGTCTAAATTAACAAATTTGACTTTTTAAAGGACCCTCACGAGTGTGGGGATTACTAGGAATTACCAGTGATTACGAAGTCTGTGTAGACCTGATTACCACAGTTGGCCACCCCTCGCCATCGCTCCTGTGACTGTTCGTTCCCCAAGAAGGGCGTAATAGAGGTCGGAAATTTTTAGTGTATCATTGGTGTCACTCCTGGACAAGGCAACGGTTGGTGAAAATCCTGTTAACCACCCCTAACAGAGGAAGGTTTTCCGGTGATACAGTCAGTTTTAATGACGCTTTGAAGTGTTGTTGTTTCCACCCCTAGATAAGGTTTTGTATTGGTTTCGGCTGACCGTAGTGTGATTGAAGATCGTTTTACGCGAATTTTAATGAATATTCGCGAAGTTTGTACCTGGCAAAAATTTATTGGCAATCCTGTATGAAAAACTGTAGTTTTTTCTAACAGTGGTGTGTGCCGACAGACACATTTTTCCATGGGATGCTGCAGAAGTTGATCTTTAGAACTTTAGATATCTGCTCATCGGGTTTATTTCAGACAGCACTCCTGGTAATACGGACATGCGGGGCCAAGAGCATAGGGTGGCTGGCGGCTGCGAACCGCGGTTGATAGAATCCGTCCAGTGAGTAGTTGTCATGAGATCAACTTCTGCAGCATCCTAAGAAAAATTGTTTGTGCTACGTATGGCACATGGCACATGGCACACACACTTCTGTAAATGCCACGTCTAGCACACACACTTTTCTGAGTGTTCAGACTGGCACACTGTTAAAAATATTTCATTACATTTTCATTACATGTTGTGAAGCTACCTTCATTAGATTTTCGTAATGATATTTAAAAACCTTTTCATTAAATATTGTGAAACTTCATTAAAATGTAATAAAATTTAACGATACGTAATGAAAAAGTTATTAAATATCATTACGAAAATCTAATGAAAATAGCTTCACAACATGTAATGAAAATGTAATGAAATATTTTTAACAGTGTGCACACATACTTTTATGAATGTTACATTAACTCGCACTAAAATGTGTTGAATGGTACACGACTCGTGTTTATGGAGTACTTAAGTTTGATGAAAGCGACTTTCAAAGATGCACTCGCAGATCACTATAGATCAAAAACTGACGTTTAAAGTGCATAGCACACAAGGGTTGTCAGATAGTTTGTGGTTCCAGCAGAGTGCGACGGTGCACTGCTTGGCACCACCGCACGAACACAAGAATTGAATGGCACCACCTGCCGCACTACTTGGTCATCAGGACAACTACGTGTCTTCCAACCAAACATTTGGCCAACTCCTTTTAATAGTTAATGCTCTTCAGAAATATTTCTTTCACTTCAATACGCTCTTATTACCAAGGCCAGCCTAATCTAGCGAACACACCCTTGAAAGCGCACTATGCGGGTTCTTTGTTAGCACGGCCATCTACTTTACAAACGCTATCTAGCCGGCTCATACACACTAAAATCCTATTCACAACTTATTGATTTCTATGTGCGTGTTGTGCTGAGGCATTTTTTAGCGCGCCGGTATGAACAAATTAATTCATACTGGCGTATTTAAAAATGCGTAAGCGTAGCACGCACACATAAATCAGCAGCCTGTGAATAACAAAGGTCATAGGCAAAGGATATGAGCGTGTTTGTCTTTCTCTCTATGTTGCCCTGGGACATGATGAGAGACTAATTAACATTTTCTGAGTATCTCCAGGGCCATTCGCAGATAGAAAGCCGTCAACTTCAAATCTTGGAAACTGCCATTCGATACCTTAGACTGAAAGGCACGCTGTTCAGCCGTCCGTCCCAAGACTAACGCAGCTTAGCCGAGCGTTTCGAAAGACATACAAATAACCCCACGGGCGGCTGAACTGCGTGCCTTTCGGAACGTACGGATCCCGGGTGAAAGGCTGTACTTCCAACTGCAATAGCGCACTTTACACGGATCACATCTACAAATGCATTTAAAATGTGTACAAAATCAGATCAAATTGTAGCAGGGCTACATATCTTAACATTAATTGAAAATATTGTAAGAATGTATAAAATATGAACTGCGTGCCTTTCAGTCTTACAGGTCGATTGGGTGCAACGGAGTAGAGGAGTAGAGATGGGTTCATTGATAAATGTGAAGAACTACACATACTAACAATAAGCGAGTTACTGCCTCTGAAGAAGCTCCTAACAAAGCAAATAACAAGGTAATCATTTTATTTCCACTATTAGCCAGTTTCTTCAGTGCATTTCACGAAAATCATTGTATGTCACTTGCAGGGCCGAGACAATGTAGAAAGTGCAGAAAGCAGCGAGTGTGATTTTACTTTGAAGAAATCAACTGATAGCAATAACTTATTAGAGTCTCCTCCCAATTCCGAAGATAGGCGACCCAATGACAAAAGGGTAAGGTTAGGTTTGGATAAAAAGTCACTCTTTTTGTTGGCTGAGCGATTAGCGAAGCCTATTACTCCAGTGATGATCAAAAAGTTTCGTGTCTGTCTGTGTGTCTGTCTGTGTGTGTTTGTCTGTCATCACGATAACTCGAGAACGAATTGAGCTAGCGACCTAGGATTTTCAGGGTCGTTTTGTATCATAAAAAGACAGATCAAGTTCAAAGAAGAGCATTCTAGCTCAAAAATTGGATTTTTAAAAAATCAAAAACCACAGGTCCCTCAAATAATGTTTTTATAAATATTTTTTTTACAGTCTCCTAAGGGTTAACTCATCAAAGTAGAATCCTTTGGACGAAAATTTTCTCCGTTTTGCTCTAGCTCAAACCGTTGAGGCGCAAGAGGGTGTTCTTGACGAAAATAAGCGAAAAAGTGTACAACCATGCATTCTTAGTCAAAGTGACGGGCCGTTAACGGGCCGGAGGCCCGTATCTTTGTGTGCATTTTTGCACTACCCGACTCGGGTGTCAGCGCCGCAGGCCTAGGTAGCTGTATGCCAGGTTTCGTGAGATATCGCGAAGCCTGTTACGCGAGACGTGGTCTGGCGTACAGCTACCTAGTTATCACTAACTGGTGATTTATGTTGTGTAATCGTAACAACCTCAGAGATTTACACCAGTTAAAACACGAAAGGGACACTATTGTTCTTTCAACCCTGCTTGCAGCTGGTACGAGTTGACATTTTGTAAAATTTGTACACAAACCATTTTTACCCGGGTAAAAGTAGCTCCAACTTAAAATATCATTCCAGGTCGCTTGAACCCTGCGCTAAAATCGACTCGCTTACACCCACTATCAATCTACTACGGTTTCCGAGTAGAGTCGAGGAAAGCCGCGCGGGTAGGCCCGGTCTGGCTGCTGTACACTCCCATGCAAAAACAAACATTTATTTCATTGTTTTGCTGTACTTGACAAGCTTTCTTGTTTCTATCAGTAATTATAGCGAAATCATTGCAGACACGTTAGGAGTCATTTCGGAGCATGCCTGGACGTTTATTTAAGTTCTTCTGGGTCTGGTCTTATATATCTTTTCATATGTGTGTTATTGGGTCCATTAGCTAACATCAATACTTAACATGGATTTGGCACAACTTGCATGTATTCTACAAACTGCGGCACACACAGCCAAAGATGTTCAGCGTATGAAAAGAATGCTTCGTTTGTTGAGTTTTGATTACGAAGTAGACGGCAAAGGTACCTGGCAAAAAGATGGTTTAACAAGCAGGCCCGCCCTTCCGCCAAACGAAGTTGCCAGCTTCGCTTCGATCCGCCGGCAACTCCGTTCGGCAGGGGCCAGGCCTGCTTGGCCTGCCGGCGGCGATGGTCGGGCTTGCGGCCCGACCATTTCCGTCACGCGATTTGCTGAAGAACATAATCAAATGATGCAATGGGCGTTCGGCCCGCAAAGCCCGTCGTCCTTAAAAATTGCCCCGTAGACACGAGAAAGGGATGTAACGGTGAAGCACCGCGACTACAACCCACCCTTCTGCTTAGAAAACGTTTTTTTTTTTTTGGGGGGGGGGGGAGAGAGTTTCTTTCCTCTTGTGCGGTTTTGGGCCTTCTTCTACAACTTATTGCTCACTTCAGCAATTTTAAGCTTATTTTCGTCAAAAAAGAACCTCTAGCGCCTAAACGGTTAGAGATAGAGCCAAACGGACGAAATTTTCGCCCAACGGGCTCTATATTGACGAGTTACTCCTTACAGTATCAGAAAAAAAAGTATTTTATTCTGACTTTTTTGACCTACCCAATATTCTTTGATACCCCCTTTTAGCCCTTTGGGGGTGGTTGCCAGGATTTGCCGTAGGCGTTTCGTTTTCTAGGAGTGAACCTTAAGATACCCTGAAAATTTGAAGTCTCTAGCACATCTCCTTCTAGTGGAACAGACAGACAGACACACAGACACACACGAGGTCGTTTGCATAAGCCTGCTAGATAGCTTTTCTAAAGCAGAAGGGCGGGCTAAAAAGAGCCGCCCCTCAGACGGGCCGCAGGCCCGTTTTCCGATAAAAGCTATATTACACCATGCAAAATCAGGATTGCACGGCCGGCAGGCCAAGCTAGGCTTGCTTCCTGCCGAATCGAGTTGCCGGTGGAGCGAAGCAGAGCTGGCAACTTGGTTTGGCAGAAGAGCGGGCCAAGCTTGTTTTGTGTGGGGATATCAGTTTGTTTCAGGAGTAATTTTGATTTCCCGGTGTCGTACTGGCCCTCAAGAAAAGGACAAAACATTTTGAAAGAAAGAAACGATTTTTCTTGGTGTAGTCTCTTGATCACCCGTACAAATGTTGCCCCGAAAAACGGCTTATCAATCGGCGAAACAGCAACATGGTTGCGGACAGGTTGGACTGGAACGATAGATACAGACCAGCGTTAACAACGCGATACGAGCTTTAAAACACAGCCCATTTAAGGAGCACATGCGGTTTTACATTGCCTACCAACAAGGCAGTTCACGAAAATGAAGTCCTTTGCACCATGCATGTGTGCCCTGCTGGTCGTCTCCTCCCTGTGCGGGGCCTCACCTTCGTCGCGCATCGTGGGTGGTGAAGACACATCCATACAAGACGCACCTTACCAGGTAGGTTTAAAACAAGCAGGCCCGCCCTTCCGCCAAACGGAGTTGCCAGCTCCGCTTCGCTCCACCGGCAACTCCGTTCGGCAGGGGCCGGGCCTGCTTGGCCTGCCGGCGGCGATGGTTGGGCCTTCGGCCCGACCATTTCAGTCTCTCCAGGGCCTGGAAACGCAATGGCCGAGTCCCGGCCGAGGCGCGATACCGCAACGGGGGAAGCTTATGTGAAAAAAGTATGCATCTACGGTGGAAAGCAAGAAGAGATTCGGAAAGCTGATGAAATTTGACGTGTAGTAGGCTATATGCTCAGCCTGAAAGTAATGTTTATCGTGGTCAAATCCACGAACAAAGTTCCGTCTGCTAGAGTGAGGTTATGAAGGGTCAAAAATCCATGTTTTTTATCAAATTTTCTCCGCGCACTCGTGGCAGTATCATGTTTAATAATAGGCCTACTACACGGCAAATTTTATCAGCTTTCCGAATCTCTTCTTGATTTTTACCGGAGATGTATACTTTTTTCACATAAGCTTCCCCCAAAAACGCTGTTTTCGCTGGTATCGCGCCTCGGCCGGGACTCGACCATTGCGTTTCCAGGCCATGGTCTCGCGATATACTGAAGTGCATAATCAAATAAATAATGTGACCGCTAAATCACTTTGCATATTTGAGTAAACTAAAGCGTCCGGCGGGGGGCCCAGAGACTGTAACGGGGCAACACCGTGACTACACCCCACCCTTCTGCTTTGCTCAAGAACTAAAAAAGGTGAACCAGCGCAGTTTTTAGACTGTATATTGTTTGTCAAACAGTCCTAAAACTTGACTTTCTGCTATTGTTTTCAATATATCCACTTCTAGGGCCGAAGCAGTAAAAGATACGGCAAATCCTAGGGTAGTTCCTGATTCAGAATGTGTTGTTTTGGGGGGGTACTCCCTCTGACAATTTACGATTGGACGCCTCCTTGTACGTTTTTATGAGCAACGCGGCCATTTTCGCCGTATTTCGTCGAAAAAAGCACTCTAGCGCCCAAACGGTGCAAGATAGGGTCAAACGGACGAAATTTTCGTCCATAGGACTCTACTTTCACGAGTTACCCCTTAGGAGACCATAAAAAAATATTTGATTTTCTACTTTTTGGACCAACCCCTATTTCTTTGTTACCCCCTTTCACCCCCTTAGGGGTGGTTGCCAGGATTTGCACCAAGCGTTTCGTTGTCCAGAAGTGACCCCTAAGATACCCTGAAATTTGTAGACCTCTAGCTCATCTCCTTCCTCTTACACGGACGACGGACAGACGGACACACACGAGAGCGGTTGCATAAGCCCGCTTTAATGCTTTTTTAAAAGCAGAAGGGCGGGCCAAAAAGCACAGGAGTTGAACAGTACTTTACTGGTCAACTTGTTTCTCGGTCTTCCTGTACTTGCTAAGTACGGTGTTTTGAGTACAGAGTACAGGAATTTTTAACATGGAGCCTTATGAGCACTACACTAATAAAGTACGGGTGTCCTGTACCATATCCTGTACGGAATCCTGTACTTTTTCTGTACTTTGGTATAGGATTTTTAACAGTGTATGGGGAAGAATGAGACACATCAAAGTTGAGGGAGAACAAGACATTGACTTCGTTGATCTAGATTACATGCTTTTTGACATTAAACGGAAATGCTGCAGTGCTTTTATTTCTCCCTTAGTTGGCTGAGCGATTAGTGAAGCCTATTACTCCGTCTGGTCGGAAAAAAAATTCCGTCTGCCTGCCTGACTGTTAGGGTGTTCCATTTTAAAATCGGTATGCCAGAACGCAGTTTAAATGAAAACACTGGTCGAGGAGTTTTCAACGATGAGCGACCCATGTACGGTGGGTTATTCAAGACTCCTTTCCTGCCTACGTAGTAAATTTACTTGGGTAGGTTGGAAAGACTCCTTTCCCGACCACATTGGCTTATAAATTTCCCCACCAGTGGGCCGGGGATTTCCTGGCTATTTGGGTCTGTAAATTTACCGAACACTAGCTGGCAAAGGAGCGTTGCCACGCGGGAAGGAGAAAATTCCCTCTATTTTTTTTACAGTGCACACATACAAGTGTGCGCCATTCACACACTTGCGTTTCCAGTGTATTGAGTGTTATCGATGACTCAACGCTAAACGAAAACATTTATCGGCATCAAAGGTAAAAGTCAAAAAAAAAAAAAAAAAAAAAACGTTTGGTGGCAATTCCGCCTGCCAACTAGGCAACCTACTGTCTGCATGAATGTACATATGTTGCCTAGTCGACAGGCGGAATAGCCGAAAAGCGTGCTTTTCTTACTTTTGCCTATGATGCCGGTAAATGTTATCGACTAGCGTTGATCCATCGAAAACACTCACTATTTGCTACGTTCTCGCGCAAACCCAGTCGACGTATGACGAATATGAGGACCGCTACAGCAAAACTACTGGTATTAACTTAGGCGTTACGCCCACAGTAGCGTGACGCCGCGCGATACCGGCGACATGACAAACTTCAAGTACCTACCCTATGGTGTCTGTGGAGAGCGACTCCCTGGCCTCGGCCGCGCGTCCGCAGCGCGGCAGGGGAAAAATAAATGTTGTCGGGTGTAAATTGGCGCAAAAGTGACAAAGGCCTAAAATCCATTCTTGCGCATGGTTCCTGACAAAGCAGCGCCCTTCGCGACGTCGTTGGAAACTCCTCGACGTGCATTTTCATTTAAGCTGCGTTCTGAATAGATCGGTGGCTTCAATCCGGAAAATGGAACGCCCTACTATACACCCTGTATATATTTCGATCAAACTTGGGCTTTCGGGGGCGCCTCTGGCCCTTAAGATTAGCTCCTTGTACACGATAAAGGACGGTGACGATGTGATCCCGTGACTACACCCCACGCTTCTGCTTTGAAACTGAACAAAAAACAAAACAAAAAACAAGCGTAGTTTTCAGCTTGTATTGTTTTTCAGTCCTAAAACTGGACTTTTTGGTATTGTTTCACGTATATATCGACCTCTAGCTCTGAGACGAGTGAAGAGACGACATTTCCAAGAACTAACTATGATTCAGAATGTTCTGTTTTGAATGGTACTTCCTCTGTCGTTTTTCGATTTGAGGCCCTCTTCAACGTATTTTTGCACAGCGTGGTCATTTTCGGCGCACTTTCATCGAAAAATCACCTCTAGCGCCGAAACGGAGAGAGCAAAAGCCAAACGGATCAAATTTTAGGACAAACGAATCGACTTTTACGAGTTCCCAAATTTGAGATCATAAAACAAATATTTTTTCTAATTTTTTTTTTTTTGCTTGTTTTCTTTGATTCCCCCTCGCAGCCCCTTAGGGGTGGTTGGCAGGATTTGCTTTTCTGGGAGTAAACCTCGAGATCCCCTGAAAATTTAAAAAATCTCTAGCACATCTCCTTCTAGTGGGACGGACAGACACACGGTGTCGCACCTGCAGTAGGTGGACTAACAAAGTTCCGCGTTAGCCAATACGAGTCAAGTCGAAAGTTTTGTGACAGTTTTATGACTGTTCAAAAATCAGTACAAACTAAAAACTGCAATTGTCTTTTCTTGCTTTAAAGCAGAAAGGTGGGTTGTAGTCGTGCGTCGTGGAGCTATTTTAAAAGGCTTTAGGCCCGGCCGGAAGCCTGAGCGGCAAATACTCGCGAGCGGCAGAAAAGCGGGTATCCAAAGAAAGATAGATAGAGCTACAAAGTTGATAAGAATAATTTATGGTACCATAATGGTCTTCAAGGGGTTTTATACTCGTAAATTTAGTAGAATCTTTTCGGCCAAGTTGTTGATGTGTCTGCAATCTTGCTGCTGTGTAAGCAAACTTTTTGCTGTGTCAGCAAACTTTTTGCTGTGTCAGCAAACTTTTTGCTGTGTCAGCAAACTTTTCGCTGTGTCAGCAAACTTTCTGCTGTGTTAGCAAACTTTTTGCTGTGTTAGCAAACTTTTTGCTGTGTCAGCAAACTTTTTGCTGTGCCAGCAAACTTTTTGCTGTGACAGCAAAGTTTTTAACACGGTTAAAAATATTTCATTACCTTTTTATTACATGTTGTGAAGCTATTTTCATTAGATTTTCGTAATGATATTTAATAACTTTTTCATTACGTATCGTTAAATTTCATTCCATTCTAATGAAATTTCTCAATACGTAATGAAAAAGTTATCAAATATCATTACGAAAATCTAATGAAAATAGCTTCACAACATGAAATGAAAATGTAATGAAATATTTTTAGCAATTAATTGCTAAAACAGCAAAAAAATTCTGACACAGAATAACTCCTAATTTGCCTAATTTCTTCTAGATAACCCTCTTTTTACACCCTAGTTACCCTTTAATGTGTCAGCAAACTGATGTTAGTTAATTCTGGAAATGAGGTTCTTAGTCTCCCCACCTGTATTTACCTTTGTTCAGGCCTAATGACCTATAATTACCTGCGTTTCGGCCTATATATAAGGATGGAAAATGAAAATGAGTGGTCAATAAGAATGGTTCTTGTATAAATTATAAAGTACTACGCAATTTTGAGTCTATGAAGTAAATTCAACTAAGTTTTGCCCCCTTAGACCGCTTTTGTCTTTGTTATGGATCCCCCAACCACTGCGTTTTGCTACGCTCCGCCACTCTAAACAAGGCCTTCATATCTCTATGTTACCTAATTTAAGGTACACTTACTGAAAATTAAAGCTATATCATCTGCTTCCACGTTAGCGCAAGCTTAGGTTTTTTTCTTTTTCTTATTTGAAGCAGAATAGTGGGCTGAAGTCACTGTAGCACACCGTTACATTTTTTTCTCTCAGGTCTAAGGGGCAAATTTTATAGGGCCCCAGCGGTTGCATAAATCCTCTTTTCAAGCTTTTTCTCGATCTATAGCTTTTTCAAAGCGGAAGGGCTGGCTGAAAGAAGTTCACCTAAGCCGCAAGAACAGGCACGTCTTCTTTTCCTTGAGTTTGACATGTGGTCGGGAGCAAATTACGTTTAACATAATCTAATGTACAGGTTGCCATAAATATTGGCGGTCGGTTTATATGCGGAGGATCCATCTTATCGAGGAAATGGATTCTAACAGCTGCCAAATGCATCAAAAAGTAAGTTAACACGTACCTTCTTTAAAAATACTGAAACTGTTGCGTTTTTAACTTGCCCTTTTGGTTTGTAAATAACACAATATGTGGTCTTGTCAAATCGTTTTGACGCTTGCTGCAACCGAGCAGACCAATCTCAGTGTAAATCTGTCTTGCATAGTCTACGTTGCAGCTACAAATAAGCTCTTGCTGTATAAACAGTGTACGTAAGCCAAGTACCTCAGCAAACAGAAGCTTTGGGCAAGCGAACCGCGAGGCAGGGGGGTTGGGCTGTTGGTTGTTTTACCAGCAACCAGCACCTTGTCCGAACGCAGTGTTTTGATGGGCGTACTAAACACCTTGGCAATGATGATCCGCCTATGGTTCCGCTCGTTTCACATAGGTCCGGGGGGTGCTCGTTGTGATCGAAATAACCTGTGCCATTATCTGAGAGGCAAACTTGTAATTGGTGATACCAGGGAACTGAATTCTGAGAAACTCTCTACCTTTGAGGAAGTCTCCACCTTTGTTAAATTTTGACCCCTCCTAATTCGCAGAGTTTTAATATTCGCACTGTGACAAAAGCCACTTCCATTTTAAATCCGTAAGCGACTCTGGACTGAAATTAAGAATCTACGTACACGGATCACAAAGAATGAAAATCGTTCGTAATGTTGCAAAGCATTTACTTCGTGAGCATTTAACAGTGTAGTTACCTGCATAATATGACTTTGATGAACGTTCTTCCAACAGTGTTGAACCTTCCTCGATCACGGTTCGTGTAGGCAGCAACCAGCTGGATTCGGGTGGTCGGGTTGTTGCTGTTTCCCAGACACGAGTCCACGAATTTTATGATGCCACGAACAACTACAACGACATCGGTCTCCTGGCGCTCGAGAGGAATCTTAATTTCACCGATGCGGTGAAGCCAGTTCTGCTCGCTGGTGCTAACCCAACACCGGGCTCCAACGCGCTCTTGGCTGGCTGGGGTTCTAAGGCCGTAAGTCGCTTAAAAATCTGTGCCCCATTTGTTTCGTAGTTAACTGGTGGAGACGAAATACTTTCCAAACAAAGGCAAACAATGTTTGTTAATTAAGTCCAACGCTTTGGCAACCCTAAAAGATAACTTCAACTAACGTTTTTTCCTACAGTTTCCCGGTGGACTCTCGCGGACTCTGCAGACTATTTCTCTGAAAACCATTTCCTTGAGTGAATGTGCTGCCATCCATACCCCAGGGACAATATCGACCGGCAACTTGTGCACAGCTGGCAACGAGCGAAAAGGAGCATGTTTGGTAAGTAACAAGAGTAACGTCGGTGTCTCTTACGCACTTGTGAACTCCTTCGTAGAAATGGTTTTCAGCCGCTTTGCAAATAGGTTACTCTGCCACATGGCAACTCGAACGTAAACAAGAAAAGCATGATTGCTCGAGATGTTTCCGTCAGCGCATTTATTGGCTGACCGCCACACAGACGCTATTGTTGACCAATGCCCGTTCAGGAAGAAACACATCGGAAAGTCATGCTTTTCTACGTAAGGTTCCAATTGAGTCAAGGGGTGTAGATGTAGATATGTCATGCACACACTAACAAATATTCCACAAATATTTCATAGATATTCCATGTACACCAAAATGAGAGCGGTCGGCCACTCTGATCTGGTTGTGTTATTGTAGAATTCCTTATTGCGTTGGATTTGGATGCTCTGTAGACTACGAAGCATTGCGATATTACAGAGTATTACCGGAGTAGTTTATTCCGAAGCTATACTTTGGGTGCTACAAAGTATAGCGTCGTAATATTGCACGGTAACGTGTCCGTGTTACAAATTAACTAACTCGTTCGCCTTCGTTGGTGACAACTCTTGGTCTCCGTACCTTAACCACACCTAAATTCTGTCCATTTTCAGGGAGATGCGGGTGGAGCTTTAGTTTCGAACGGTGTCCAAGTTGGCCTTGTATCTTGGGGCATCCCTTGCGCGACCGGCATCCCGGACGTCTACTCAAGCATCTCATTTTACAGAAGTTGGATCGCAGAATCTTCAGGCGTCTAGATGAAGTAGCTAAGTTCCCATAGTTTTATTTGAATAAATATCAGACAAGGATTACTATCGGTCCATGTTATGTGGAGGAACGCGAACTACGGCCCTGCACGGGAAAAAAGACTTGGTTGTGAGGATCTATTGTTGTTGGTAGGCTAAATTCGATAGCTGGAATCGACAAGCCAATCTCCATAACCAGGAGTTGGTTGTGACGACCGGACACTTTTACGAATAGAACCCCAGCTTCATTTTAATCGTTGAAAATCCCGGTCGTAACAACCGCCTCCTGGTTGTGGATATCGGATTTCCGATTCCAGCTATCGAATTTGGATCTAGGGGTACTCGACTTTCCTGATGAGCGTGCAAATGATTGGTGATTAGATGTAAAAGTCTGGCGCAGTAACCAACCTTTCTTTGATAGGCTTGAGTCGATAGGTGCAATCGAAAATCCGATGATTACAACCAAAAGCTGGTTGCCAAGATCGAATACTAGAAGGTGAAAACAAGAAAGCATTCCTTGTTTGCGTCGCACTAGAGTATATGATCGTAAAAACCAACTTCTAGTTGCTATCATTGCTATCATCAGATTTTCGATTGCAGCTAGCAACCAAGAACCGAAATACGGTCGCCTCAATCCGACCGTCACCGGCTGACGGTCGGAGTGAAAGAGACAGCATCACACGGGCCAGCGGACGGTCAGTGCTGCTAGCCAACCGCCCATAAGGAACTGCTGGTGGGCGGTCGCAGCCCAGGCGGCCGGCCCGGCCGGCATGAGCGACCGTGCGTGCGAGCAGCGCGCGCAGCGACCGCCGGGCTCCCGGACGGTTGCTTACGGTCGAAAACTGCATCTTTTTCGGTTCTTGCTATCGACTCAAGCCTATCGAACAGAGGTTGGTCCCTTCGACAACGTCGTCTTTTACTCTACATAATAACTGCAGTTAACAATACTTAAAATTCCTATCAAAAAGTTTGCATTATACAGCGAAAAGCTAAATTTTTGGCGCTATTTAGGTTACCTGAGGTACTTTCACCAAGAATATAGGGGACGTGGAAAAAATGACTTCGTCGTGAGGATCAATTATGTTTGGTAGGCTAAATTCGATAGCTGAAATCGGGAATCCGATACGCACAAGCAGGGGTTGGTTGACACGACATGACACTTGTACGAGGAGAACAAACTCCAGCTATGTTCTCTTCGTACAAATGTCCGGTCGTGTCAACCAACGTCTGCTTGCGAGTATCGGATTCCGATTCCAGCAATCGAATTTATCCTACAAAACAGAACTGATCCCCACAACCAAGTCTTTTTTTCCGTGTAGGTGATAGATTGATTGGACGGGGTACAGTTATTTGACACGTCGCATGTAGAGCGTCACTATAGACAAATAGGGCGCCGCAGATAAACCAACTTTAGCACGCCCAGCAGATGGATAACCCGCGCTGCCGCCTCTTATGCAGCCTTGGATTGGAGCAGAAGCGAACGGCGCGAACGTCTGCTAGTACCGTTGCCAGAAAGGCATATTTTTGGGGGTTATCGCGTATTGTAACCGGAAACTCGTAAGAACGCCAACGCCGAAACTCAAACGTTTTAGGCCTTTGAAATGAGAAACAGTGACATTCTGTTCAATAACTTTTTATATTTCAATAAACTTTTCTGCGAGATACTCTTTTAATTAGCCCATGGTCTGAAGCAAATTGTTTTCATTACGAAACTAAATATGAAAACCATAAGGGTGACTTTTTCATGAACATGCTGTTCATGTATTATTCGTCATGCGTGCTAACTCATTGAGTAAGGTGCTTGCCCAAATTAAGTGGTGCTTTACAATTTTTTAATTGGAATGATGTTCATGACATCCATACCGATGACGTAGGCCCAGACTTTAATTTTTGGGGGCAGTTTTTGTGCCATGCATAGAAATGGGCATTGCATCAGGCCGGACGGCGTGGCATTCATAGATCAACATATATTGTTGTTTGCAGGAGGCTATGCAGCTCAAAGGGGACAGATTTCTCAAGTTTGTAGAAGTGTTAGAAAACAATTTGTCTTGTAATGGTTTTAGAGGGTTTGACATTACTATTATGTCTCTTAGTTGTACACTAAAAGCAGTTAGTAGACAACATTCAGTCAGGTTTCTAAATTAAGTCGTATCTGATTTAGATGTGATCATCTTTCCTGGCTCTATATTGCACTGCAGCTCTTAATGTAAGAATGAGTGTGAAATATTTACCACAGTTCCTTTATCGGTCAGAGCTCCATAGCTTCCCTTCTCACTTAAATTTGTAGCGATTCAGATGTCTTCAAAAATAACAAAATTCCAGCTCATGTTAATGGTCATAGACAGTTCAGATTGATTAAAAATTCAACTAGGACCGTGGCAATATCATAACTCATAAATAAGTGATGAATTGCGACATGGCCTCAGGTCCAAAATGGTCTGCCTGTCAGAAATAGTTGTGTGCTAAAGAAGGGAGACTGCATTCCCTATAATTATTTTATTGTAAGGTAAATAGTAAGGGAAATGTATTTACATCATAAAGCACAGTGACAAGGCCTCTTCTTAATTTGTGACACTTGATCCGTACTTTTCAAATTAAAGGTGACATGCAAAGATAAACCTAGAGTTCACATTTTTCTGGAGAGATTCGATCATGAGAGGCAGGAGTCTTCAATCAAAGTGACAGCCGCACGTGGGATTCTTCATTCAAATTGGTGACCACTTTGTATTTTTTTATTGGACACTCTGGTCCTTACTTATATTGTTTTTTACAAAATTAAAATACTTTAAATTCAAATCACTAGGGTAACAAAAAATTAATTTCTCACAGGACGAGAGTATTAACATTAAAACAAATTAACACGCCCTCTCCTCTTCACAAGGACAGGAATCCTCTTCTCCGCACTGATGTTCATTGTCATCTGTAGATAGTTTGAATATTTTACTCCACCACAATTGACCTCCAGTGGAGTCAGTGGTGCATCTTGGTCACGCTGGGAGATCAAGTCTAGTTTCAAAACACTGTTGGCATGTGAAATGTCAGTGTCACCTTCAATGGAACTTGCAGTAACTGCATCTGCACAATGGTTGATTGTTAGTTGGGTACCATTCTTTGTAGCTACAAATGGTGAATCACGCCCTTTGAAATTCTTTGGAAAAATTTCTATCATCGTGACTGTTGAAATCTTGGCTCTCATCTCTGAAGCAGCCTCTTCCCTATCCATTTCGATCACTTTTCCCTGGCCTGTGTACGGCGGGCGCTCGGTTGTCTCGTCATGTTCTTCACTTCCGTTTATACTGGTAATCTCATCCACAACATGATCATCAAAGGCAGCTACCTTGTCATCTTTTGATTCTTTCGGATCTTCACTATTAGTTATACTGATAATATCATCCTCAACATGATCATCCAGGGCAACAAACTTCTCATCTTTTAATTCTTTCGTTAATTCCCTTCGCAGCATTATGTTGTTTTGATGATCTTCTAAAGGTTGTTGCTCACTCATGTACTCTTCGGTGCTATATTCCGATTCATCAGTGTCTGTCGCAATTTCTGCACCTCTCTGAATCTTTGATGGTGTAGCCTGCATTACAACACCAGGTTTAGAAATCAGTGGACCGTGGTATGAACTTCACCACAGTTAATCATTAGGTTAAAAATCCAAAAAACAAATAAGAATTGAAGAATATTCTTAAAGAGTACAATATGCGCACCGCGTCTTTTTCTTCATTTTGATCGTTCGTCTTCCTCTTTTTTGATGGTGACTGGGGGATGTTGGCATCTTGATTGTTTGATTGCAAACCATCTGATGGAGTCATGCAAAGCTTAAAAATGTCGTCTTCTCCATCAAGAATCAATGACAGGCCAGGCTCTTTTCTGTCTTTCTCGCCAACTGGAGGACAGACTTTGAAAGTAAAATGTCAGAAATAATGAAATACCTGCATTTTGCATTACGAAAACACGATACAATGTGCCATGTGTAGTCAAATTACCTGCATGTGTGTCACCTACGTCAATTCCTTCATTAAGTTCTTCGATGGTTTCCACCAACAAGGTAAGATCGCCTTTCGTCTCCTCCGAAGTTGCCACTGCTAGGCAGAGGAACACAGAATTTTTAACACTCCAATATTTCAATTTTATAATTTATGCAACTGCTAATTCTGTTTAATAGTACCTGCTGATGCCATGTCCTTTTTGAACACAGCTACCCGAAGGCTCTCTGTAGTACTTTTACCTCAGTTAACAATACTTAAAATTCCTATCAAAAAGTTTGCATTATACAGCGAAAAGCTAAATTTTTGGCGCTATTTAGGTTACCTGAGGTACTTTCA